CTCTTCTAAGGATGCCTACCCTGAAGAAGTTACCCTCCTCTCTCCGGAAAAACCTCAGTGGATCTCTCTCCCACTGCAACTCTCTCGTAATCTCTTCGGCCTTGAAACTGCTCGACCACATCCTGAAGCAAACCAGGTACTACAGCCACATCACCTTTCTTAGTACCTGCCTACGGAACCCATTTCTGAAGAAGGGTCTAGGCCCGAAACGTCAGCCTTCCTGCTACTCTGATGCTGCTTGGCCTGCTGTGTTCATCCAGTTCTACACCTTGTTATCTCAGATTCTCCAGCATCTGCAGTTCCTACTATCCATAAGAAAATTTACATTGCTGAATCAGATCATTTGGCTCAATCTACCCAGGCCATTGGTCAAGATTTACCCAGCCTCATTTTACCTTGCTGCAGTGGATTCATAGCCATGTAGCTCACAGCTATTCAAATAGATATTCAAAAACTTTTTAGTTGTGTTGAGAGAAGCATAAACGAGTCACCCACAGGACCTGCTGAGTCAGTTTCTTTTTCAATCATTTCATGGGATGGGAGTGGTTTACTTGGCAACCTGTGGATAACACTGATGATGACACCTTCTATGACTGTGTTAATGATTGAGAATAGATGGATGGGCAGTAATTGGATGGTTTCTATTTTTCTTGTTTTTGGAAGATGGGATATACTTGGACAATTTTCCATGACAATTTTATCAAATTGTTGCTAGTGTTGTAGCTGTACTGGAACAACTTGGCTGGGGGTGTGACAAGTTGCAGAGCACAGGTCTTCAGTATTATTACCAGAATGTTGTCGGGGCTCATAGCTTTTGCAGCATCCAGTACCTTCAGTCATTTCTTGATATCACATGAATTGAATTGACTGAAGATTGACATCTGTGATGCTGAGGTCCTCAGGAAGAGGCCGAGATGGACAATCCACTCAGCACTTCTAGTTGTCAATGCTTGAAATACTTCCACCTTGACTTTTACAGTGATGTTCTAGCTTCCCCCATCATTGAGAATGGGGATAATTGTGGAGCCCACTCCTCCTGTTAGTTTTTAAAAATTGCCCACCACCATTCGAGATTGGATGTGGCAGGATTGCAGAGATAAGGTATAATCTGGTGGTTCAGGGATTGCTTAGCTCTGTCATTCATTGTATATGCTGCTTGACATCAAGTAGTCCTCTGCTGGAGCTTCACAAGATTGACACCTCAGTTTTTGCTATGCCTTGTGTTACTCCTGGTGCCCTCTTGCACTCTTCATTCCAGCAGGGTTGACTATCTGGCATGGTGGTAATGGTACAGTTGTTGACACTGCTGGCCATGAGTTTGCAGATTGTGGGTGCTTTATTTCTGTTGCTGCTGATGGCCTACAGAACCTCATGGATGCCCATTCTTGAGTTGTTGAAGACTCTCCCATTCAGCACAATGGTGCTTTCACACAACATGGTGGAGAATGTGTTCAATGTGAAGGCAGGTCTTTGTCTCCACAAGGACTGTTTGATGTGGTCACTCTTACTGATACTGTTATGGACAGAGGTATCTGCTTCAGGCAGATTGATGAGGATAAAGTAAAATAGGACTTCCTCTCTAGTTAGTTTCTTCAACACCTACCGCAGACACAGCCTATCACCTGGGGTGGGAATTGAACCCATGCTGTTGATGTTATTCTGCATCACAATCTAGCCATCAACTGAGCTAACCAACCCCGAGTCAAGCAGCAATTATGCTATGAGGACAAGCACGTAGGATTATGTCAAATTGAAACCACACACACAAAACTTTTTCCAACTCAGAGGTATAGGCAATTTGTTTTTTTTTCTCTCCCCTAAAACTTAAAGGACAGCAGTTAAATCACTTTGCACATTGACAGTTAAAACAGGCTCCATCCACTCTTTAAGAGCATTCATGTCGACTCAAAGTTTATAACTCACACACTGTGGAATAAGGCCCTCACTCCAGTGAAAATGGAGCCTGTTTGAATTTAGCAGAGAGTTCAAATGGTCCTGCTGAGCTTAGTTTTCCATCTTGTGAGAATTGTGTTCAGCTCCCTTTACCTTTTCCAGCAAAAATACACTCTGTCAGATATGAAAGCAAGACTTCTAGATCTGAATTCCCCACACCATTGTGCATCAGTTATGGAGTCCACAAAAGTCAAGGCCCTCATCTGAATTGTTTCCCTGATTTAAGTGTAAGTAATTAGGTGGCAATTGATGAGTGGCAGTCATTGAGATGGCAGAGCTTGGGGTGGCTGTAGAGGGGGTATCAGGAGTCTGGGGTGTATAATTGTCATTAGCAGTTGTTTGAGTACTCAAATTTGTATATGCGGATAAAATAGGATGGTGATGCCTCATGTAGTAGAATAGTCTTCAGGCCTCGTTATTCTGGGTCACAGTTGAAAAAGGGCAGTGAAGCTGTATCTACAAGGGTGGAAAAAGACATTGGGAGGTGGGGTAGTATGGAAGGGAGGTTAGGTTGTGAGATTTGGTTATGAAAGGTAAAAACTCACCCTCCTCCGTGAACTGTATAGAGTGGAGCTCAGAAACGTTGGCAGGATGGATAATCATTGGATGAAAGGCACCTTTAAACTTCATATTAGGACCTAGTAGACAACAAAAAAAGTCTGAGATATAACTAATAATATGACCACGTAACACAGTGGTATCTACAGCCCAGGTTCAAGTCATAGAACCAAAGAATGGTTGTGGCACAGGAAGATTCTATTCAGCCCATCATGTCGATACCAACTCTCTGTAAGATCGATTTAACTAGTGTCTACCACCATCTTTTAAACACGTAACTTCTCAGTTTGGTCCTTTTCAGATAATGGTCAATTGCTTTATAAAAGCCACGATTGAATCTCCCGTTACCACTATCTCAGACTGCACATTCCAGATTCTAACCACTCACTGTGTGAAAAATATCAGTTTCCTCTCCCTGCACTGAGGCTTACAGGACGTGAAAAAATGATGGAGATGCACAGCAGATGAGGCAGCATAAAGGAAAGTGAAAAACTGAGTTAACATTTCAGATTGTGATGCTTCACCAAAACTGACAAATGGTTAGCATTAAGAATGTGAAAGGGAAAGGTGGAAAAGGGAGATCTGTGATGGTGTTATCTTCATGACAGTTCCAATCAAAATGATATGGAAACATGAAAAAAAATGAATAATCCTCATTGTCCAGCAGAACATCCATTGACGGGAGAGCTGCAACAAGCAACCAAATGGATGAAAATGTCGGTATTAAATACCATCTGAATAGGCAAATTTTCAAATGATGCAGATGAACTGAGAGAGAACAGACAATCATAGGACTTAGGAATCGACTGGTGGAAAGTAACCACTCATGTAGAATTATTTCTTGTTCCAGCTTGTTACAAATGGGCTTAGAGACTGCACAGAGTAGTATATAGCATTAAGGAACTATTTTTCTGGCTCCACTGTGCTGGCTTTGAAGGTGGAGAGCTGCACTGTAATGGCACCCTGATGCATTCTCATTGTCAGTAACATTCCCAGTAGAGGACTGTGAATGGACTGACCCTCTCCTTCTTAGAGGCAGGCAGCAAACTAAGGCCCCAGTGAGAAGCAATTTTGATGCCTCACTGGCACTGTGGGCATAGCCCACCTGCTAGATCAGCACAGGTGGTGCAGTTGCCCCCTTCCAGCTGAGTCAGAAGGACATTGGAGCGTTTGGGCACAGGTTCATTTAGAGGGTTTTCTTCTGTGCTCCGAGAGCCTGTTTTTTTCAGAATTTTTATTATTTCATTGTACTGCAGGGACACCTCTTTGTTGAGGGCTGCCCAAAGGTCTGGTGCTCCTGACCCTGTGATTGGCTGCATCAGGAGCCCACTCACCAATCTAGGACCAAATTCCATAGCCACAGGATTGTCCCGCTCAAACATTCTCAATACACCATTATACTGTGTAAGGAGATCAATTGCATAGGATACGTAAGAAAAGGTAGAGATATAGCAAGGCCATGAGGAGAAAGCTCAATCGTTATAGATTAAAAGGTGCAGATTACAAAAAGAAGTGGTGTATGTTTGAACATAAAATATCTGGGAAGTTACAAAATCAGCCTAACTGAACAGTAACTAACTTGTTACAGAGATAGTAGGAACTGCCGATGCTGGAGAATCTGAGATAACAAGGTGTAGAGCTGGATGAACACAGCAGGCCAAGCAGCATCACAGGAGCAGGAAGGCTGACGTTTCGGGAAGGGTCTAGACCTGAGACGTCAGCTTTCCTGCTCCTCTGATGCTACTTGGCCTGCTGTGTTCATCCAGCTGTACACCTTGCTATCTCAGTAACTAACTTGTCATTTTTTAATTCACTCGTGGGATGGGGGAGTCGCTGATTGGGCCAGCATTTATTGCCCATCCTAGTTTTGAGAAGGTAAGCTGCCTTCTTGAATCGGTGCAGTCCATTTGATGCAGGTAGATCCACAATTCTATTTGGGACGAAATTCCACAATTTTGACCCACAGATAAAACAGAATTTTAAAAATATTGCAAGATAAGGTGCACATTTTTTTTATTTGTGACTTGCCCATAAATGCTTGCCAGCTTGAAAAAGGCTTTCTGTGCAAGTTTAAAAGACAGAAACGTTACATCTGCCTTTGCGATTTTCACATAAAAAACACAGCCAGATAGTGGGTGAGAGCAGTGAGATGAAGGGAAAGGCTGTAAACAGAAGAAACCTGGACTACTGCCCTGAAAAGAAAGTCCTGAAAGGGAGCAGCCATGTTAGATCAGGTGGCAGAAGGAAGTCAAACAAATGAATAATGGCAGCTTCAAACAAAATGGAAAAGACCCGTAAAAGGAGACACTTTCTGTTTTAAGAATAGCTCAGTAAGGACTTCCATAATTACTTACTCCTTGTAAATTGCTTTATTTGCTGAAGAACAAAATAAAGTTATTGAACATTCAACAGTGATTCTTTTCAAGTAAGAATAAAACATCAGTGTTTTTTTAAATCAACACCCAGCAAAAAAGCATCAGGTAAATGTCCTGCACCTTTTTGTAAAATTTCATTCATTCCTTTCCCACCTCTTTGGCCCATCAATCCCATTGACACTTCAAAGCGCATCCCTGGGAATTTATTCCACAACCCTGTTATTCTTTGTGTGAAATTTAAAAATTGTTACGCAGCTTCCTTTTTCCATGATGTGTCAAGAATTGAGTCAGATTAGTAAGGTACGTGACCGCACACACTGGACATCTGGCACGTAAAGAGACAATGATGCAAATACTCCAAAGTAATCTGCATGATCAGAATGAGGGAGACTTTGCCACAGTGGGACTGAGATAAAATGAGTAGCTGGAAATTTACAGCAACATAGGAATTCAACTGGTAAATCTTTTATAAGTTTAATTGTAGGGTAAAAGTCAGAATCAGACCAAGATTAACCTTTAAAGAAGTTATAAATGTCTAGTTAAACAGGCTTATAGTGGAAATGATTCACCAATGATTGCACAATGTTCAGCACCATTTTCAACTCCTCAGATACTGAAAGCAGTCCATGTTTAAGTGCAACAAGATCTGAGCAATATCCTGGCTTGGGCTGATAAGTGGCAAGTAATATTTTATCTTATCACCGCCCCTTGATATTCAACGGTGCTGCCATCACCGAATTCCCCCACTATCAACGGGGGTTACCATTGACCACAAACTCAACTGGACTGGCCATGCAAACACTGACTACGAGAGAGGATCAGGGGCTAGGAATACTGCTGTGAATTAACTCATCCCCCGACTCCCCAAAGCCTGTCCACCACTACAAGGTATAAGTCAGGAGTGAGATGGAATACTCCCCACTTGCCTGGATGAGTCCCGCTCCAACAACACTCAAGCAGCTTGACACCATTCAGAAAAAGCAGCCTGCTCGATTGGTATCCCATCCACAAGCACCAGCACTTAGTAGCAGCAGTATGTACTATCTACGAGATGCACTGCAGAAATTCACCAAAGATCCTTAGACAGCACCTTCCAAACCCACAACTACTTCTATCCAGAAGGACAAGGGCAGCAGGTACATGGGAACGCCATCACCTCCAAGTTCCTCTCCAAGGCACTCATCATTCTAACTTGAAAATATATACCATTTCTTCACTGTTGTGGGTCAAAATCCTAAAGTTCCCTCTTTAAGGGCATTGTAGGTCAACCTATTGCATGTGGATTGCAGCAGTTTAAGAAGGTGGCTCACTACCACCTTCTGAAGGGCAACTGGGGATAGGCAATAAATACTGGCCAGTTGGCGGCACCCAAGATCCATGCGCGAATTAAAAAACTATTGTTCTTCTATTCTCCTTCCTCCTCCCCTGTATAGCTGAATTATCATGATGCCAAGAACTTGGTTGTGATTTCACCTTACTGAGAAACCATTGCCCCTCACCAGTTTCCAAAGTGGGATACTAATTAGCAAGCACAATAGAGTCATGGGACTGCTGCACTACCTGATTAGCTTCCTCTCAGACTGCTTGGTGGTCACCCATGCTCTCTTTGCCTGTACTCTTCTAATCTGCAGTGTGACCACCCCCATCTATGTGTTGTCCATGTGATCCTCTGCCTGATGGATGTACAATAGTGATTCCCGTAACTACTCAAGTGCCAAAACCTACAGCAGTTATGTTTGTGTGGGATACAGACTATGTCAATGATTTCACGCATAACACAGGATGTACACTCTGCTTGGCCCTTCTGACCTGCCATCCTGTAATTCTGAAAAATATTTGTTACCCTTAGTACAAGTATGAACTTACTGTGAAAACTTAATAAGCTATTTCTCAGAAAAAGAGAGGAATTAAAAAAAGTCTAGAGACGTAAACACAAACTAAATTCCCAACTTTCCTTCAAGGGTTGGAAATACTGACCAAACTCAATCACCAATCAGCTTACTTCCCTGTCCTCCTGGCATCACACTGCAGTTGGTCTCTGTTGCTGGTTGACCTCTTGATCTGGGCATTATATCACCTCTCTCTCAACTCTCAATCTGGAGACTTTAGTTCTTGCAGTAAATCTTAATTAAAATACCTCTTACCTCTTTTCCCACTTTGACTCAAATTTCCAGTTCCTTACTTTGCCTCAGTTTCACTCTGGCAAAGGCACTGCCCTTCTTGGTATGCTTTGAATAAGTCCATCTTATATTGAGAACTCAAGAGTTGTTTTTCTTAACTTTCTGCTGAAGAAATCGACTCCTAATTTTAGCAGGGAATTTCAGGTATTTAGCTTTGCTAAATTTATTTTTGGGATATGGACATCACTGGCTGGCCAATATTTATTACCCTTCCTTAGTTGCCCTTTAGAAGGTGGTGATGAGCTGACTTCTTGAACTGCTGCAGTCCACCTGCTGTGGGTGACCCACAATGCCATTAAAGAAGAGAATTCCAGGATTTTGACTCAGCAACAGTGAAGGAACGGTGATATATTTCCAAGTCAAATGGTGAGTGGCTTGGAGGGGAACTTGAAGATGGTGGTGTTCCCATATATCTGCAGCCCTTGTACCTCTGGATGGAAGTGGCCGTGGGTTTGGAAGGCTCTGTTTGAGGATCTTTGCTGAATTTCTGCGGTGCATCTTATAGATAAGTACACACTGCTGCTACCGAGCATTGGTGGTGGAGATCGTTGTTGTTTATGGATGTAGTGCCAATCAAGTGGGCTGCTTTTCCTGTTTACACTTTGCCTGACCTGCTGTGTTCCTCCAGCTCCGCACTGTATTGACTCTGACTCTGACTCCAACATCTGCAGTTCTTGCTATCTCCCAGGCTACTTTTCCTGCATGGTATCAAGCTTCCGGGGTGTTGTTGGAACAGCACTCATTCAGGCAAGGAGGGGCTATTCCATCACACTCCTGACTTTTGCCCTATAGGTGATTGACAGGCTTTCGGGAGTCAGAAGGTGAGTTACTCGCCACAGTATTCCTAGCCTCTGACCTACTGTTGTAGCCACTGTGTTTATGTGGCGAGTCCAGTTGAGTATCTGGTCAATGGTAACCCCCTTTATGATGTTGATAGTGGGGGATTCAACGACAGTAACACCATTGAATGTCAAGGGGCAGTGGTCAGATTGTCTCTTATTAGAGATGGTCACTGCCTGGCAGTTGTGTAGTACAAACATTATAGGGAATTCCATAGTTTGGGGTTCAGGCAGGCATTTCCATTGCAGTAAATGTGACTCCAAGATGGTACACTGCATCGCTGGTGCCAGGGTCAAGGGTGTCACAGAGAAGCTGCAAGACATCATCTGTGGCAGGGGAACCAGCCAGAAGTCATGGTGCATGTTGATACCAACAGCACAGGTAGGAAGAAGGATCAGGTTCTGAAAGTGGATTTCAGGGAGTTGGGAAGATAACTGAAAAGCAGGACTTCAACAGCAGTAATCTCAGGATTACTCCCCGTGCTACCCACATGAGAGTAAGAACAGAAGGACTGACCATTTGAATATGTCACTGGACAATGGAGTAGGAAGGAGGGTATCAGGTTTTTGAGACATTGGGATCAGTTCTGGGGTAAGTAGGACCTGTACAAGTTGGACAGGTTTCACCTTAATGGAACTGGATCTGATCTCCTCGCAAGGAGACTTGCTAGTGCTGTTGGGGTGGGTTTAAAGTAGGTTATCAAGGGCATGGGAACCCGAGGAATATTCAAACAGATCAGACATATTATTAAATCTGCAAACTTTGGGTTTTACACAGAAAGGCTATTAAACTCCCATATGGCAGTGGAAACAACTAATGACTGAAATGGGCAGCTACCTGCATAAAACATGCAGGCACAAAATGCATCCCATTCCCACAAACATGGTAAATTGGGGGCAAGATTTATGATTTCCAGGCAGTTCTGTTGTGGCAAAAATCTTAATCCCCAGTTTCTGCCCTTCAGTACTTCACGTTTTCATTACTATACTGTTTGGTGATGTTCAAAACACCATCTCTCAGGTGCTGCCATGGGCCACCAACACTCACTAATTTACTACATGAAGAGTTGCTGAGGTAGCGGGGATTCTTGCAGCACAAGGCCAAGTCAACTAATCTTCACTTAATTCAGTCAATCCTCTATACATGCCTCACCTATAGAATATTATCTAATTCACTCCTGGGGTTCAGATGGAATTCTAGTCAGGGATTTGCTCTCAGCCTGATACTCCAGCTGTCATTTTCAGAAGAGGAAAAGAATGGGTGTCAAGGATGTCTTGCATTTGAGATGTACTAGAATGCCACCAAGAATTAAAAACATCAGTTACATAGAGTGACTGCAGAAACTGAAGTTGTTCTCTTTGGAGTACAGGAGGTTTAGGGAAGATTTATTAACGTGGTTCAGTACTCATGATGACTTATGTCAGAATAGTTAGAAAGAGTATTTCTACTGGAAAGAGGATCAGTAACTGTACAGAACAGTTTTTAAGATAAACGACAAAAGAAGTAAAAGGAAGAAAATGTTTTACATATATTTTAACAATCTGAAAGGCTGAGGAAACAAACTCCATTAAGAATTCCAGAACAATATGTGAAAAATATTTGCAGAGAAACATTTGACAGTTATGGATAAAGGATGGGAATGTGGAACTAATAAGTGAGATCCGTTGCAAAGAGAGCACAGACATACTGGGCAGAATGGTCACCCTATGTTCTCTATACTGCTGTAAACTGCAGATACTTTCCAAATGTTACTAACCAACAGCAAAAATGGATCACTTTAAAACCTTTGGTTTGATCAGAAACATGAGCTGGCTCAGACAGAAGCTCCATAGAATTTATTCTCACCAATGTTGGTGTTTCCCACTAGCAGGGGAGCTTTGGGATACTGGCTTTTCAATTCAAGAAGTTCCTCCAGATTTGCTGGAACAATCCACATCATTCTCTCTCCACGAAACACAAAGGTTCTCTTCTCCCGCCTCTCCTCCATTAGCTGTATCAAGGGCAGATATATTACTCATCACAATCAACAGAGAGCTTGAGGAACAAGAAATTTAGTGTTGAATACAGAGATACAACACTTGCCAATGAAAGTCACCCAACGCTCCAAGTGCAAATCAAGCACAAATTAGCAATAGAGTAAAGCCCCTCTTCATTGTGACATCAAACATTATTAGTCCAAGTGTAGTACAGGTTAGATACAGAACAGAGCCCCTCTACACTGCCTTCTTCAAACATTCTAAGGAAATTTGTAAGGAGATCTCAGATATCTGTAAGAATGATAGGGTTGTAATGGTAGGGGACTTTAACTTGCCAAACATTGGGCTGGGACAGCCATAGTGTTAAGAGCTTGGATGGAGAAGAATTTGTTACGTGTGTACAAGAAATTTTTCTTATTCATAATGTGAATGTACCTACTAGAGAAGGAGCAAAACTTGACCTTCTCTTGGAAAATAACGCAGAGCAAATGACTGAGGCATCAGTGGGAGATGCACTTTGGGGCCAGTGATCATAATTCTGGATGTGCATTCTGCGAAGACATCGGCCTAGTGGTATTATCACTGGACTGTTAATCCAGAAACCCCTGGCAATGTTCTGGGAACAAGGGCTCAAATCCCACCATGGCAGATGGTGGAATTTCAATTCAATAAACAAAAAATATCTAGAATTAAGAGTCTAATGATGACCAAGAATCCATTGTCATTGTTAGAAAAACTCATTTCGTTCACTAGTAACTTCCAAGGAAGGAAACTGCCATATCTACCTGGTCTGGCCTACATGTGACTCCAGACCCACCAGCAATGTGGCTGACTCTTAACTGCCCTCTGGACAATTAGGATTGGGCAATAAATGCTGGCCTAGCCAGTGACACCCTCGTAGTGTGAATGAATTATTTAAAAAAAGATACAAACTGCTTCTACATAGTCACATCAAACATTTTTAGGGCAGGCAGAGCACGGGGTTAGACACAGAGTAAAGCACTCTCTATAATAACCCAGTAATATGTGTCAGTGCCTTTTAACATTATCAGTTTGATATCCAAATTACCAGGAAGCCCAAGAACAACTACCAAATAAACCAGGTATTCAATTTTACCATTAACTCTGGTGGAAATATCAACTCCTGTGTCTCATCCAGTGGAAGTAGATCATCCGTCTTGAACAGCTGGCTACACACCTGAAACTGGCAACAAGAGAGATCAGAACAGAACATCACTTTCCTTCATTTAGTTTTCTCCCCTGCCCATCTCTTCATTCACTCATGATACCTTGTGAGAATAGTAATTGGGATGAGCGTTAAACTATGTGGAGAGAATGAAGAAACTTTCTGCTCCAACAAAGCCCGAAACGTCAGCTTTCCTGCTCTTCTGATGCTGCTTGGCCTGCTGTGTTCATCCAGCTCTGCACCTTGTTATCTCAGTGCCAAACTTAGTGCTTTATATTTTTTGGATTTAACTGAGGAGGTAGTGAGGCACTCAGGTTGAGACAGTTGGGCAGCTTAGGGTATCCAAAGATTTTGCCCAGGCTTATGTCTGAAGAGGAGACTCGAGTTTTGTTGCAGAGTGTTAACACAGGGAAGGAGATAGTAGTAATTAGTGACAAGCACAACACGACAGTAACAGAGAATAATGCTAAGGGCTGTCTCCGACAATGGGAGGGATTATCGTATCTGATTGGCCAGAAGCTAGAATAATTCTAACTGAATTCTAACGGGCTAACTGAGCTTAGCCGATATTCTACATCCACTCTGGCCTTGAATGGAGGCCCATGGCCCTAGTGAGTCATTTGCAGAACACTGAGATACACAGGGCTAAAATGGGCCCTTAGCATGGTTTGCCTCCAATTGCCACAGCAACAACAGACGTTGTGACCCTTCCCAAAATTGATTTAACAGCTTCTAACAACCTGATCACTGTCCTTGGATTCTGCCAAGATTCCATCTTGCTCAGCCTTTCCTAGGTGACAACTCTCCTCCGGATCTCTCCTCTGGCAACAGTTCGATGCCTAGAAGGAAAGAGCTTGGAAAGTAAGGGAGGAAATGACAAACATTGATATGAGTGATTCATTTACAAAGTCTCTCTGCAGCCTTTACCTTTGCAGTGGAACAATTGCTAAAGCTTTAAGACAGCCATTAATTACAATAGGTACCTTAAATAAGGTTTCCCAACAAAGGTGAAGGGTCTGGATCCAAGTTGAAAGGGAGGATAAATTGCATAAAACAGACTTGTATTTCCTTGACTGTAGGAGAACTGAATAAGAAGGTCATTATAGGCAACAGAAATTGGGCTTGGTAAGCCATGTTTTTTGGACGATATAAATGCGATCAAGAATCAAAATAACACCCAAGGCACACCACAGCTCTAGCAGAGTGTGCCATGTGGCATTTTCTGAAAAGTAAATTTAACATCCACCTGGGTAGGTAAAAGAAACAGCTCCGAACATCCATCAGCATGCAACATTGATTTGTTGTAAACACTGCTACTTTGGAGCTGCACATTCCAGCCTGTGGCCAGTCTTAAATTCACAAAGCTGAGTTATGTTAAGCAGCATGAATGAACAATCACACCAATAAGGATCTTGTGACACAGTGGTAGTGTGCCTACCTCTGAGCCAGAAAGCTCAAGTTCAAGTCCACCTGCTCTAGAGGTACGTAATAACATCTCTGAACCGGATGTTTAGAAAATAATCGACACCACACGAGTCCTATTTAAAGGGATAGTCAAGTGCACGCAGGTTGACTGCTGGTTAATTTCATTTGGTTGTTGCTGTGATTCTACAAGTGTTTCAATAGTTTCAGATTTCAAAATGGACAGGATATGGCAGGTGCTGAAGTAGCTTTTGCTGACTTCAAGTTACACCAACCAGCTGCTTACACAGAATAAGTTCAGCATAACTGGGTGAAATAGCAAATAAAAACCCACCCTGTGTGCAACACCAGCATTACACCAAATGAGAGTGCAGTAACCATGAAAAATGGGGTGGTGGAATGTTTCTCTGTAGCCCCAAGGGCTTTTAAATTCCTCTGATGGGAGAGTTCAGACAAAGGGGAATAATTCTAGCAGTTGATATTGATTTCAGAACACATTTCTTCAGACAAGAGTGGTGGAAATCTTAAACCCTTTCACCCCCAAAAAGTTTCTGATACTAGGGTCAAATGGAACTTTTCCAAGCTGAAATTATGAGGATTTTGTTGGTTAAGAGCATTTAAGGGTACAGAACCAAGGCAGTAAATGGAACTAATGTACAGAGGTATAGACTCAAAAGAATGCAGTGCCTACTTCTGCTGCTATGTTGCACGAGCATTTTAAAAGCTGGTGTTTAACCAGGCTCCTTACCGTACAGAAAGTTCTGAAAGCATCAACAATTGGCCTGTATCCAGTACAACGACACAAGTTTCCTGCAAGGTAGAAGCGAGGTTAGAGATCAGAAGAACTGAGACAGAAATAAAAATAACCATGATTTAAGCCAACAGCCACCGCATTTCTGGGCATTTAGAAAACTAGAATGAAAACGGACAGATTGGTGAAGTCCAGAAGCCAGCAGTAAGAGATAAGTGGAGTAAAGGTACCTGCTGCCTGGTGTATCAAGTCATGATTCTGAAAGAGTTAATGTTTGAGCTATACTGAGATCAACCTGGTCTGAACATGTCACTTAGCCACTGGGTGGAGAATCCACTGGAGTCTCATAGTCTCTGGATGGAGGCACACGTCTTCTCTGCCTCTTGTTAGTAATAATTAATAATGCCTAAGAGTTAACATAATTAATTATGTGGTTACTAAAAATGTAATAACCTACACCATGTTATATAGGACGCGCCAATTCTACTGAGACTTATTTGTGGTCCATCCTCCACCACAGACTTACAGTCCTTTAGATCATCAATAGGAGGGAGGATTGATGGCAGCACTCTTCCCCGACCATAAGCCACCAGTAGTTGATGCCTGAGCATTCCATTACATCAGAACACCATCCATGTACAAAATTGTGCTGTGTCCTGTTCACTCATCATCCCTATGCTTGATCCCAAGCTTCAATTTTAAAATTCCCATCCTTGCATTAAATCTGTCCTTACCAGTGTCCTTCCCGATCTCTGAATCTTCCACTAGGCCTACAAACTTCTAATATCTCAGTATTTCTTTCACTTGAGTATTCCTGATTTTAATCATTCCACCACTGGAATGGCCTAAGTTCTCGAGTTCCTTCCCTAGTAATCTTCCCTCTCGTCCTTAAAGTCACTTTTTAAAACATACCTTAGACCAAGCTTCTGCTCACCTGCCAACACCAGGACAGGTGCACAAAAGTTTATGCTGACTGTCGTACAGTACAGGGTGAATGCTGCTCTGATAAGAGGTGCTGCCTTTCAGGTGCAGTGTTAAACTATAGAGTGATTAAATGCCACATATGCAGAAGTGGGCCATGATGTCAGCCAGACATGATAGGCCCCGGGAAATATCTGTGCACCTATTACTGACATTGAACAGTTTGATGCACGGTGATGTTAGCACTGATGCAGATGGCCCACGCTATGATTGCTGCAGGAGGAAGTGTTAGAAAAGAGATTGGGCGCCAGGAGGCCAGGGAGCTTAGGGGCAAGGTGGAACCTCCCTCCCAAGTGGAGTAGCTCTCTGTCATCTTGCCATCAATCACTTGCAGTGGTGGGATCAGTACAGAGGTAGGGTGCCTAAAAGACTCTGAAGCACACACAATGCATAAGTGCTGGCTTTGGACAGTCCCTTGTATGTCAGATCCACAATCAGTGAGTTCAAGCTGAGTGGAGAGAGCAGCTGAACTGGCCAGCTCAGCATACGATGTGTAGGCCCTAAACCCCAGAAAATATCTTCAGTGTCACGGCCAATATCAATCCCACAATCAACATCAAGAAGGTGGATTCTCTCAGCATTATCACCTGGCTGCTAGTGGGAGCTTGCTATGTAAAAATTGGCTGCTGCTTTTCTTACATTAAAAAAGTGACTATATTTCAAAATTATTACTATACCGCACAGAGCTTTCAAATTTCCAGCAGTGGTGGGAAAGGCGATATAACTGCAGGTCTTTTTTACTTTCATAGAGTCATACAGTCATATAGCATGGAAGCAGACACCTCAATCCAACTAGTCCATGCCGACCACGTTGCCAAACTAAACTAGTCCCACCTGCCTGCGCTTAGTCCACATCTCTCCAAACCTCTTCTATTCATGAACTTATCCAAATGTCTTTGAAATGTTGTAACTACAGTTGCATCTGCCACTTTCTCTGGCAGTTCATTCCACACACGAACCATTCTCTGGGTAAAAAGGTTGCTCCTCACGTACTTTTTAAATCTTTCTTCTCTCACCTTAAAAATATGCCCCCTAATTCTGAACTCTGCCACCCCAAGACTCTTGTCATTCACCTTATAGAACATAGAACAGTATAGCACAGTACAGGCCTTTCGGTCCACGATGTTGTGCAGACCTATTATCCTACTAAGATCAATCTACCCTGCATACCCTACATTTTACTATCCTCCATGTGCCTATTCAAGAGTTGCTTGAAAGTCTCTAAAGTATCTGACTCCACTACCACTCCACACGCCCACCACTCTTTGTGCGAAGAACCTACCTCTGACATCTCCCCATACCTTTCTCCAATCACCTTAAAATTATGCCCCCTCGTAATAGTCATTTCCACCCTGGGAATATGTCTCTGACTATCCATTCTATCTATGCCTCTCATCATCTTGTAAATCTGTATCAAGTCACCTCTCATCCTTCTTCGCTCCAATGAAAAAAGCCCTAGCTCCCTCAACCTTTCCTCATAAAACCTGCCCTCCAGTCCAGGCAGCATCCTGGTAAATCTCCTCTGCACCCTCTCTAAAGCTTCTACATCCTTCCTATAATGAGGCGACCAGAACTGAACACAATATTCCAAGTGTGGTCTAACCAGAGTTTTATAGAGCTGCAGCTTAACCTCACGGCTCTTAAACTCAATTCCTCTGACAATGAAAGCCAACACATCATACACCTTCTTTACAACCCTATCAACTTGTGTAGCAACTTTGACATGGACCCCAAGATCCCTCTGTTCCCCCACACTGCCGAGAATCCTGCCATTCACCCTGTGTTCTGCATTCAAATTCAACCTTCCAAAATGAATCACTTCACACTTTTCTGGGTTGAATTCCATCTGCCACTTCTTTGCCCAGCTCTGCATCCTGTCAATGTCCCGTTGCAACCTACAACAGCCCTCCACACTGTCCACAACTCCACCAACCTTCGTGTCATCGGCAAACTTACTAATCCACCCTTCCACTTCCTCATTCAAGTCATTTATAATTATTATTCATTATTATCTATGCCCCTCACGATTTTATAAACCTCAATAAAGGTTACCCCTCAACCTCCCAGTGAATAAAGTCCCAGTTTTTCCAGTCTATTTTTATATCTCAAATCTTCCATTCCCAGCAACATCCTGGTAAATCTTTTCTGAACCATTTCTGGTTTAATAATATCCTTCCTATAACAGGGCTACCAGAACTGCACACAGTACTCCAGAAGGGGCTAGCCTAATACTTAGTTATGTGGTTTGATGTCAATTTTTGTTTGATTACATTTCTGGCCTTGAAAATGAAACGGTCTCAAAATAATCATTTTGAGAGGGCTAGATTACAGGAGGACAGATGTATTGCTGAGGCTGTATGAGGCTCTGGTCAGACCATGTTTGGAATATTGTGAGCAGTTTGGGCCCTGTATCTAAAGAAGAATGTACTGGCCTTGGAAGGAGTCCATAGGAGGTTTACGAGAATGATCCTGGGGATGAAGGGCGTGTCATATGTGGAGTGGTTGAGGATTCTGGGTCTGTGCTTGATGGAGTTTAGAAAGATGCGGGGGACCTCATTGAAATTTCCAGAATACTGAGAGACCTGGATAGAGTAGATGTGGAGAAGATGTTTTCCACTGGGAGGGGAGACTAGGACCCAAGAGCACAGCCTCAGAGTAAAGGGACGACTCTTTAGAACCAAGATGTGGAGGAATTTCTTCAGCCAGAGGGTGGTTAATCCGTGGAACATTGCTACAGAAGACTTTGGTGATCAGGTCATTGAGTGTGTTTAAGACAGAGATAGATAGGTTGTTAATTAGTAATGGGATCAAAGGTTATGGGGAGAAGGCAGGAGAATGGGGGTTGAGAAACATGTCAGTCATGATCGAATGGCAGAGCAGACATGCCAATTGGCCTAATCTGCCCCTCTATCTTATGGTCTTATTGTATTATGCCTTGGGATAATGCCTTAGGACAGCATGGTGGCTCAGTGCTTAACACTGCTGCCTCACAGCACTAGGGACCTGGGTTTGATTCCACCCTCAGGTGACTGTCTGTGTGAAGTTTGCACAATCTCCCCATGTCTGTAAGGGTTTCCTTCGGGTGTTCCGGTTTCTTCCCACAATCCAAAGAGGTGCAGGTTAGGTAAATTGGTCACGCTAAACTGCCCATAGTGTTTGGGGATGTGCAAGCGAGGTGGGTTAGCCATGGGAGATGCAGAGTTACAGGGATGAGGGGGTCTGGGTCGGATGTTCTTTGGAGGGTCGGTGTTGATGGGCTGAATGGCCTGCATCCAGACTGTAGGGATTCTATGATAATGAAAACTGTTAATTTCATGATCAGTGAAAACTTTGCTGTTAGCATGTCCCAATCTCTTCTAGTTTGAAACAAACTGTGGTATAACGGACACCTGCAATATTCTAGTTTTGTCAGATGGAAGAGACTTGCAAAATTAAAGTAAATTATCAAGAGTGTCTCAAGTTAATGCAGTTGTTCCAGATGCTATTTCTCAAGCTAGGATGTGAATCAGAAGGCACAAAGCTTAAGTATGGTGATATGCATTCTTACCTGCAAGGCACTGCTGTAACTGTGCCATGCTGGGTGTTGGATTGTTCCTCAGCAAGGTGTACATGGACATGACCATTCCTGGAGTGCAGAACCCACACTGAGAGCCATGTGTCTTGGCAATGTACTCCTGGAGAAAGAGGTGGAAGGGAGAATTACAGAGTAAGAGAAAGATAAAGAACAATGTGGATATGTATTTGCTTGCAACATTTAACAACAATGAAATAGTTTAACCCTCATTGGCTCCAACATTGACATCGTTCAACTGTAATTGTGGAAGAGGAAATAAAAATCGGGCAACACGTGAAATAGATAGTGATACTTCACCTGCCTAAATGCCCATTAAGTCCACAACCGAATCTGTGATAACTTGTGGATAACAAACTAGCAACCAGCCTCTTGAACCTTTGCATGGTTGTTGTGGTCCTGACTTTAGCAAAGGAGGTCAGTCATTCTCATGACCTTGCTAAACTGATTTTAGACTCCCTGAGGTTCAACTTAATCCCCACCACATCATTCGGCTTATAGCTTCTCATCAACAATTTTTTCTCGCATCTGCAGCTTGGAGCCACTCTTGCCAGGAGAGATGCTACACGGTGCCACCTTCATCTGTCCTGTGCCATCCTCACATCCATTGTAGCTTGTCTGCAATCTCTCTGTGACATCTGTCACACAATTACACCTAGGTCACTCCCTCATTCTGCTGCTTTCCACTTAGTAAAGATTTCTGTGGCTTATCAACTGAAACCAAATGCTGAAGTACTGATATTCTGGACAGGAGTGTAGATATTGCTGACATGCCCAGTACTAATTGCCCATTAGAAGTTGCCTGAGGGCATTAAGAATTCATCACATTCATGATTAAAGAACTATCAAGAAACTGACAGGATCAACGGGGCATCAGTTTTACAATCTTTCCATTGAAGTCAGTGGGAAGTAAAATCAAGGTGGGGCATAGAAGTGATGGGTATAAATATGTGGCCATAACAAGAGTACAAGGTGAAAAAGATATCGAGCGTAAATGAGGCAGCAAGTAATGTGGATATTAAACAATGCAAAGTGGGGGAAGGCGTAAAAGGAGCAGAAGGTAGAGAAGTAAAGAGAGCAAGATTTAAATGGGACAGATTGCAAGAGAGGGCAGTAAAAAGGGGCAGGATGGGCTGTAAAGGGGCAGGCACCTAAGAGTCAATGTGAATAGGCTGTATCGAGAGTGGGTGTTTAGATAATTAGTGTATAAGAGTAGGTGTAGGGGGGGAGGTGTCTAGGGGAGGATTATTGGGATGCTATGTATAGGGACAGAGGTAATAGGAGGTACAGGTGCGGTGTATAGGAGGCATATGCATTAACTCAAACCTTTCAGTTCCTGTTGATTATTTTTCCCACTGGTTATGGTTTCTGAAACCACTGATGTTAAACTAACTCACTTGTAGATGCTAGGAATGTGCTTATATCCTCTCACATTTCACACACTCCCATCCTGTGGCACCTCTCCCCCATATTTAGGGAACACTGGAAGATTATGGCAAGTCTTTATGCTATCTCCATCCCCACTTCTTTTAGCAACCTGAGTACAAGCCATCGACACTCACCAACATATCAACTGTATGCATCAGAAAATATTGATGCATTTTCCAGTATACTCTGCCAATCAATTTTCACACAATCCATCAGCTTTACCATCTTCATTTCTCCTGATATTTTGTTAGCATCCTGTTAGTAAACACCAGTACAAAGTAATCATTATGATTACAGTACTCTCCTGTGCCTCCATGCATAAAATCACCTTATTTGTCCATAAAGGTAGCTACATGACCTTGTCATACTCACTTATTATTTACATGTTGGTAGAAAATATCTCAGTTCCTTTTCACCTTAGCTGCCATTCTATTCTGATTCTCTCTTTGCAATTCCTTACTCTTTCTCCACTTTGAACTTCAACTTATTGTATGTGATCTAGTTCTCACTTCACATATTCATCCAACATGCATCAAACACCTTTTTTTGTCTCATCATAATTTCTACCTCCTTCATTACCTAAGGCTTTGGTTCCCCCTAACGTTCATTCTTGTTAGTATATACTTAGCCTGGAATGAAGCAGCTCTTTCAGGCTGAATATTTCCCCCTGCCCTAGGCCAGGGACATTGAGGTCAATTGTCAGAGGGTGCTAGGCCACACAGAATACTGCAGCACTGCTTTTGGGCTGTGTTTCGGGCCATCGGACCGAAATCACAGGCACCAGTGCTGCTCAAGGTCCAGGCCCAGGACCTTGGCCCTGACCGGGCCTCAGGAGCCTAGTCCCCTCAGGATAGTGGTCTCACCCAAACCCAAGCACAACAACCCTGTCCCCAACCTTAGCACAGCAGCCCCACCTCCCAAGCCAAGCACAGAGTCCTTGACCTGAGTACAGTGACCCTGCTACCCGATTCAAGCACAACGTGCCCTAGTTATTGGATTCTGATGTACTCCACTGTCAAGGACCTAGCTGAACTTGTTGACCTCTGGACACACAACACCTGGGACACTATATCAGGTCATCGATCTTCATAACAGTTGGCTGGCTCAGAGAGGCCGAGGTCACAGTGATAAATCTGGAACCATCCTGATCTGAATGGCTTAGTATCACACTGGTAATTACCTATGTTACCCATGAACAGCTAGAATCTAATTATCATGTAAATACATATATACTGGGATAGCACACTTCCATGCTACACTGCAGCCAGTTGTTAAGTAGCAATGTATTGGTCTACCAGCCACAGAAAACTGTTCAGAACTTTTTTTTTCTTTATTCTTTCATGGGATTTGGATGCCTCTGACAAGGCCAGTATATGTTGCCCATCACTAATTGCTCCTGAACTGATTGGTTGTTCAGCCATTTCAGCAAGCAGTTAATAGTTAACCAGATTGTTGTGTGCCTGGAATCACATGTAGGCCAGAGCAGGTAGGACGTCAGGTTTCTTTCCTAAAGGGACATGAGTAGACCACTTGGGGCTTTACGACATTTGATAATAGTTTCATGGTTACCATTACTGAGACTAACTTTCAATTCCAGTTTTTATGCGTGAACTTAAGTTCCCCCAGCTACTCTAGTGGGGCCTCAAAGCATTACCTCAGGCTTCTGGATTGCTATTTATCTCATTATCACAATTCCATTGTCTCCAGTATTTTTTGATTCTAAAGTGTGATTATTTCTAACTTCGGGAATCTGAAGACATTAAACATACAATCGAACACCAGTACCACCGGGTTAAGAAAATTTAAAACATTTCTGCAACAAATCTGATCTGATTGGAATCTCTCCACCTGCAAAAGTGGTCATGATAGTGTGAAGTTATTTTACTGCTCTAGTAATTTGGAGGTGGTGCATTTAAATCCCACTGTAATATTTTGATAATTTGAGTTCTGTCTAAGAGACATCAATAAAAATGACTAAAACTGTGTTGTTAAAATACAACTTGTTTAGCAATGCCGTCCAAGGAAGGAAACCTACCATGCTCACGTGACTCCATTCTTACAAGAATGAATTTGATCCTTAACTGCCCATGAAGTTATCCACATGTGTCAGATGTCTCCTAGCAGTTCAAGAAGCAGGTCTACTGTCACTACCCCCACCTTCTTAGAGTGACCAGAGATAGACAACAAATATTGGCGATGTCAATATACTGAGAGTTCTCTCTATCACCAGTAGCAGTGTGAGGTGCCTGAGTGTACAAGACATTTCATAAACAAAGTGCCCTTAATCAGAAACATTCCCGATCTTTTCATTGAAAGAGACTTGCTGTCTCATCAACTTTACCACTCGCTGCCCCAGATATTCCTGAATTAATCCCTCCAGCCTCACCCATCACTGGTCAATTTAGCAGAAACAATGGACGCAGAAGCTCAAAATTTTGGAGAGTTTAATCTGTCAAGATCTTCTGCTGCACAGTTACCCTCCTGCAAGCCCATACTCACCTGCACTGGGTGAATGCTGGTCCTGGTGCTGCCAATCCCCTCCACAGTGGTCACTGCAGCACCATGAAGCATGCAGAGAGGAGTCAGGCAGGCATTAACAGAGAAATGGCTTTCAGGTACAGTAAAGGAAACAACACTAGCAACAACAGCTCAATCAAAACTCAGGAAATCTGGATTTGCTTTGAAACTAACCTTAATTGTGTAACTCTTTCGTGAAATGCTCTCTTCGCTCCAATTCTATCTGTCCACTCTCCATGTGAGAATCCTGGCACAGTGCACCGACTGTCAGTGCAGACTGAAACATCAGAAGCAACTGACATGGACAAGCAGCTGTCAATCTCCAGAAGAACTACAACATCTCTCCTTTTCACTCTCTCTGGATCTCCCTTTTCTTTCTCAACAAATCCATCACAATCTCTCTCTCACCCCTTTCATTTCATTTGTCCTTTTATCGCTGTTGCTCTCTGTCACACTCTCTCTCACTTTGTCTCTCCTCAAATCTCTGTCTGTCTCCACTTTCATGTTTTTTTTCTCTTTTTCTATGCCTTCTTCTCAGTTTGTCATGCCATTTCTTGACTCCTTTCTCTCTCCACATATCTGTTCCTATTTCTGCTATCCGGTTTCTCTCTCTCTGGTCAAAATTATAACGGCCGAAGTCAGGCATATGTTTGGTGCGGTTATGGGTTTAAAAATGCAAAAAGTGGTTTTGGGTTGAGAAACACATCATGATTGCGTGTAATTAAACAGAGCCAAATCAGTTCTTGATTGGTAAGGGGATCCAGGGTTACAGGGAGAAGGCAGGAGAATGGGGTTAAGAAACAAAGATCAAAGGGCAGAGCAGACTTATGAGCCGAATGGCCTAATTCTGCTCCTATTTCTTATGGTCTTATGATCTTAAACTTAATCTGGTCGGATTTGCAGTTGAGTGGGGAAACACTGTGGAGGGCTTTTGGATAACGACCAGGAATATTCAATAGAATATTAACTGAGAATTTATCTCGGCTTCCAGCCATTAACAGACAGCACATGGGATTTCCAAAATCTGAGAGACCTGCCAGGGCCAATGGCATGCGAACACAATGGGGCATATTGAATTGTGAAACTCACAAGTCTCTAAAAAAAAGAGCATGCTATAGCCAGCAGCAGTGAAAGGCTTCTGCTCGCGCTTGCGTTCTGACAACCTGAAGTTACTGTATTGTGGTAATTTCACAGAGTGTGGAAATGCTTTCAGCCACTTTGGAGACAACTCGCCTTCATCTCAATGGCCCTGTTGTCAGCCTTCACTGCAGCAGAGAAGTAAGTTATGTACGTTAACAGTAAACTGATCCTCTGACAAGAACAGGAGCAGCAACTGATGAGCAGCAGCACCAGGAACCAGGAGTAGCAAAAACACCATAACATGCAGCTCCACAGGACAGAGGAAATAGATATCAAGTCTGAGCCTGAAAGAACTGACCCTGAAAGTCGATATACAGAGGTTGACTTTCCTCAATATGACAGCAGTACTGCTTCAGGAGGCTGACGCTTTTGTGGTTGGTCATAGCTGACATTTGTGAAGTCCCTGGAAGAAGATTTCTTTCCAAGAGGGCTACCTGAGAATACATTGCCAGTGGTAGTTAAGATCACCTCGGTCATCTATTTCTTTTCCTCAGGGTCCATTCAGGGATCCACAGGTGACATCACTAGTATTTCACAATTTGCTATAGACAAGTGCACCTTGTAGATGATGCTGCAGTTCAGTTAGAAATGAAAAAGATCACGGAATACAGATAAAATCAAGAACAAGGGGCTGTTTTCCAAGCCAATTATGTGAACCTTAGCCACTGACGTGACCAGTCAAACACAGAAGGCTGCCAGCTACCCTACAGTGGCTGCTCACACGTGACAATCAAGGTACTCTTGGTTCAGCCACTAATCACAGGAAATTCCACTCCCTCAACATCGAGGCACTCTTTTCTGAGTGCATATGTGTGGTGTGTGTGGCATGTGTGGGCAACCGGCCCCCTTCCCCTACCAAACACAATTCATTCTGACACTCAACAATTCAATCATCGTATTCACACCTCATCCTTCTTGTCAAACCTGATCATAACATTCACCTGAAGGCTACTGTTCAAGGAGAATGGCGTTTGCAACAAAGTCCAGGCCAAAAGAATTTGAATCTCAAATCAAATTCCACCATTCATTGTAATAAACCTTAATACAGCATGATTAACATTGCCATATACACGCAACTGAATCATAGAATCCCTACAATGTGGAAACAGGCCCTTCGGCCCAACAAGTCCACACCAACTCTCAGAACATCCTACCACGACCCACCTGCTATAACCCACCTAATCTACACATCCCTGAATACTACTGACGATTTAGCATGGCCAATCCACCTAACCAGCACATCTTTGGACTGTGGGAAGAAACCAGAGCACCCGGAGGAAACCCACACAGATACAGGGAGAATGTGCAAACTCCACACAGAAAGTCGGCCGAGACTGGAATCAAACCTGGGTCCCTGGTGCTGTGTGGCAGCAGTGCTAACCACTGAGCCACCTGGTCCAATCACCTTGGTACAATGATTAAGTCTTTTTCATCCACTTCCTATACGGTAGCTCTGGCATGGCACAATGCGTATGGTTTCAGCAGAGCTGCAAGCAGGCTGCTCATTTCCTTACTCAAACAGATAAGAGGCCCTAAGAGAACATTTGGAGCCCATGAGTGCCATATCAGAAATTGCTCCACCAGCACCTGTGCAGAGGCAAACTCCATCATTGGGACAGGAAGTCTCTGTGTCAGCAGCTGAGGGAGTGACCAGGGGTGAGTAGTGGGAGCACCTTAAGAGCTCCCACTACTACAAGCCGTTTCTGCATCCCCCCTTTCATGTTTCTCCTGCACTTTCCTTTGGAAAGCAGCTGGAGAGCATGTAGCTGCACATCAGTGAGATGCTAAACCACCATGGTGAGAGTTTGCTCCATTCTGTGTGAAGTGGCAGTCATGGTAAGAAGACTGTTGATCTGGGCTAGCATGGAGTCTGTGGATGGAACTGTCTGATTCTCTCTGCACTCTTCACAAGGAGGCACAGAGCAGCATAAATGCCCAAGACATCATGGTATTCATGTCTGAGAGCAACTCCTCCAATCTCTCTCACCCAGGATGCTCACTGCTTTGGGACACACAGGGAGAAACACACATTCTCATCTCTGTTGCATAAGTTCCCTTTGCACTAATAAGTCCAAACTCTCTACAGCCAGCTGAATAGAGCTGGAGATCTTCGGCAGCTTCTGATGGATCTCTCCACTGCTGACCCTGTTTCCTGCTCACATGATGTGCTCCTTACTATGTGACAGCCTGGCCTATCTGTGCTGCTGCAAGCTGTGAATATGTGAGCTAATGGAGAATCTGCATGAGTCAGCATTACAGACCATCCTCCTCCCTCCCTCCAGAACCCCCTTAGCATCCTCCAGCATAACTCCTTAGCAGCCTTGACAGACCTGCGAGAGATCAGAGAGATGAGTTAGTGCTGACATGGGAAAAGGTTACAAAAATCAACATAGTGCCTATCACGACACTTTGATTAGTACTGGTATTAATTCAATATGAGTGAGTACAAAGTGCCAAGTAAAAGTTCAATACCTAATGCTGCAACAGGACCCTGTCTATGCCACCTTCCAATCACCAAGATGTCTTCCTCCAGTGCAGTCAAGTTTCCTGCCACTGGTTTTCTGCATCTCCCAAGTGAAGCGCTCTCTTCTATGATGACATTAGGCACAGATATGAGTATGAGAAGTAGAATTTATACTGAAGACTTAAATGATCATTTTTGAGGATGGCTGCAAAGTGTGAAAAACAATAGGATGAAAGTGAACGTGAGCGTCATCCATTCAGGTGGAGTTTTGAGAAGGTCCGTGGAGAGATAGGAAGGTGTTCATTGCAAGAAATGTTGGTCAGATGAACACTGTGCAGGAGAATGATACGGATGTCGGAGTGATTAATGGAGATGGGAAAGACACTCGACTTTCTGGATAAGAAAAGATCATGAAACCTTTTACTACAGTGAATCAGGTTGTGGTCCCGATCACATTCCTACTACTCACAACCTCCACTACTTCCAGCCACACTTTATACACTGGATTCTTGGCTTCCTCCTCCTGTTCACGGAGGAGATAATCTATCTGCTGGTTCTGAGCTCCTCCTATATGACCTGCAGCAGAGAATTTTAAAAAAGGACAACTTTCCTGAGTCTCCTTTCATCTCTGCCTTCATTTTGGTTCAGCAGTGAGCTTTTTTGTAGTAAATCTAACCCTTGTAAGGTCCCTTTAAATCGAGAGCCTTCGTTGATTGTGTGCAGCTTTACATCATAACTGTATCCTGCGATCGGTCAGAAAACCTGGAGCTAAGAAGTTAATGCCCGCAGCCTAGTTAAAGAGCTACAGAAAAGATCCTTTTAATTGCAAACAGGTCTGTTACAGTTTCACCCTTGGTCTCTCTCAATGTCTCTGTTTCAATTTGGCTACCTCTCCTACTTGTCCGTCTCTCTCTCCATCTCACTTTCCCTCTGTTACTCCCTGTCTGGTTCTCTCTGTCTCATCATGTGATATCTGAAGTGTGATGCAAGTATTTTGGACACAAGATTTTCATGTTCCTCGAGCATCTAGGCAAAGAAAATCTTTCATTATTCATTATTCAGTGTTTCAGTCTAGGGTGTTCATTGACGCTGTTCTGATTCTGGTCGATCCTTTTCCTTCCTTTTCCTTTTGCACTGATTTACAGAACTGGGTTGTCCCTGGTTCAGTCTGCTCTATCTCAATGGAGGATCCCACGATGACAGTGTTTAAACACAACGTAAGGATACAGGATCTTCTTTTCTTGGGCGTTATATTTGGAAATCATCACAGTGCACGATCCACAGCCTCCTCCACCACAGCCATACTTAGTTCCTGTTAGCTTGACTGAAAGCACACAGGTCAAGGGAAAGTCTCAATTGAAATTCACAATTATATATTACTACTTGCAAACAGGCTTGGAAAATCTGACTGGACAGTAAAGATTACAGATGAATACTGGGTTAGTGGATCTAAGGTGATGCTCTGGACAATGGGACGCTACGTTCATTCTGGTGGCTGGAGGGATAGTCAGTTCCGGGCCGGTTTGTTATCACATTACTTCAGCAAAGACTAGAGAAGCTGTAAGCCAGCCAACTGAGCTAACTTCTCTTAGCCTCTGGTCTGGTGTACTGCCCTGCCAATGGTTTTTCTACCACATGCCCCACAAAATTGATTGAAAGCTGTGCACCTCCTTGGTGCATGCAGAAAGACAAACTTTCCAAATATCTGACTATGTGTACGTGCTCTATTGGTCGCTTCAAGCATCACATTTGTGCCTGGGACCTGCAAGCTCTGTTAACCTGCAAGGATTGCTTTGTACTGACGTCCATTCTTCAGTAGCTGTTCACCCTACAGTTTATGCCTCCAGTTTATATACCAAACCTCTTTGGAAAGCTCCTTTGGGAATGGATGCAATGACCAACTCAACTATTCTATTTGTTAAAAACAAAACCAAAATAACTGAGGATGCTGTAAATCAGAAACAAAAATGGAAGTTGCTGGTAAAGCTCAGCAGGTCTGGCAGCATCTGTGAAGAGAAATCAGAGTTAACGTTTCAGGCCCAGTGACCCTTCTTCAGAACTGAGGACCCGAAACGTTAATTCTGATTTCTCCTCTGAGATGCTGCCAAACCTGCTGAGCTTTTCCAGCAACTTCTGTTTTTGAATTCTATTTGCTAGTTCCCTGATTGAAAAATCATATAAATCCTTTTTCAGCATCTGCTCACAAAGTGCTGCATGGTGTCAATAAGCCTTTTGTCAAAATGACATGAATTCGAGTTGATGAATACAGAAGTTTAACCTGGCTCTGAATTGGTCTTCCAGCATGGTTTATATCTTTTGGAGATCATTTAGTTCTTTGACTGTTAATCCTGATGTATTAAGTCTATGTAATCCTTCAATCTTAACTACTAAGCAAATTTTAATGACTTGCTTTTCCGCATTGGACATATGCAAGTCCAGAAATCCTAGCTCTGAACATTTTAAATTTGGATAGGCATGTTGAGTTCCAGGTCAAAATAAGAAATTTTGTGAATATTCTGAAATAATGCCTTTTCCCTTGCTTTTGCTTGCGATTAATTTGGCACACACATTAATTTCTCATATTGTTGCTTCATCATTTTTCTCCTTGGGAAAAGCTGTATTTTTAAAATTCTTTGGTCTGATAAGACTATGGCAACTTTACCTTATTGCTGCAAAAAGCTCATCTTTTCAGAAATGTGTTCAAGGATTTTAAATCTGCCCAGTCTTCATAAAAATCAAAGGAATATCGTTTTTAGTTTTTCTTTAACTGAAAATAAAGTGGTGGATTCACATCTTTTTCCCATTTTCAAATGGCAAAGGCAGGATTTTTGATTTTTAAAAAAATCCTGACTTTCAGGAAAGGTTTCTCAAGCCTCAAATGTTTTCTCTGGTTTGTTCTAGCTTCTTAAGGAGCTTTCTTGCAGCTCTAATTCAGTTCTGTAACTATTGTTTTTAGTATCCAGTTTGTGCAATTTTTATTTCCTTTTTGGGCTATCTGCCTGTTGTTTTCTTTACAGCAAAGATTATACTCACTACTCCACAAAACTGGTCTGTGGGATTATCCTTTACTGTTTCTCTTTGGGCTTGTCATAGATCCTTTACATTGTAGATTAAAGCTTTGAAACAATCAACAATGTCTACTGCTGTTCATCATGTCATATTAATAATATTGATCTAAGAATCAATCACTCCTTAAGGATTAACTGTGTGATTATCTTATTTAAAACAATAAAATACATCAAAAGTTATAAAATAAACATTAGAGTGGGGCAACTGTTTTCAGTTTGTGCTGCCTCTATATTCCCAACCAGACAGACAAGTGAGTGGAGTTGCAGCTTCATATGTACATAGCACTTGGAGTCCATTAAGGTAAAGTGTCATAAAGGCAAAGGGACACATAAAACAGCACACAGACAGTCAAAGGTACAACCATCAATTGCGTGACAGGTAAAATCAGGGATGAGTAAGAGCCCCAAATCGCAGTGCTTGGTGCTACATTTTATTGTTTCATGGGAGCATGATTAAAAGCAGGATGTTTTACTAACCCAAAGGTGCTATATATTTTTGAAGTGTATTCTATGGGATGTTGATGTCACCGGCAAGGTTAGTATTTGCTGATCATTTCTAATTGGCCTCGAACTGAGTGCCTTGTTGGCCATTTCAGAAAATGGTTAAGAGCTAATCTCATTATCACAGTTAAAAGTCAACCATATCAACTACATCAACTGGCATCACTGAGTGATTGAGAAACGATATCCTGACTTGCTTTTTGTTAATGGATGTTAATTTGTTTAAATTGCATCCTTTTGAATCAAGACAATGGCCTCTCACTATAAGCTAGTTCTTCAATGATTTCTAGACAGACTTTCTTGATCAACATAGGAACCAGTGTGAGTTCCCATTTTGCAACGTGATGCTGACTTGCAGAGCAAAAGGATACGCGTCTTCCTGAGATAGGGCAGCAACATCAATTCTGGGTCTGCATTCTGTTCTCTGACCTGCAAAAATAGAAAGGATGAGAGGAGAAGACAAGATGACAACGTGGGAGGAAACATGAGAGTGAGAGAGAACAAGAGCAAGAGAGAGAGGATGAATGATAAATGGAGAGAGAGGAAGGACAACACACGCAGACAAAGGGACAGAAAAGCAGGCAGGAGGAGCACAAGAGATGTAAACAGAGTGAAAAAGAGAGCAGAGGAAGGAAATGAAGAGGGGAGGGAGAGAAAGAGGGACTCAGAGAGAGAGAAGTATAAACAAAAGGAGCAAGAGAGAGAGGAGACAGAGTGGGAACCCAATATAGAGAAATAAGTAAGAGAAAGAGAGAAACGGAGGTGAGGGAGATAAAGAGGGAGGGAGAGAAAATATACTGTGAGTGTTAATGAGAGCTCAGACTTTGCATTAACAATCTGAAGAGACAGTGGCCTTTTCCCACCAGGAATTTTCTCCTCCAGCTCCTGTGCCGCAACTTCACTAATGTACAGCTTTAAGGAAAATTCATAAGTACAGTCTCTGAAAAAAGAACTCCATAAAATGCATTTTCTCTTTTCATTCACAAATTCAGAGGTCTTGGGTAACATTCAAAAAACACAATGGCAGTGCGATAATTTGACTTAACATAGTACAACCAACCTCATATTCAGCACGATGGATTGTGATCGTAAACAGGAATCTCTTTTCATCCAGGGTTTTGAGGTCAAATATCATGCCAACGCAGTGATGAGCTACCTCAACTGTGACAAATGTTTGAACTTGCAGGCATTACATTTCCCATTCATTACTATAAAGGAACTTAACCTTTATCCTACACAACCAATGAGGAAAATCCTTATTGTGCTGTGTTAGGTTCGGATACATTGTGTTACAATGACAGGTTGGAACCCCAAAATGTCACAGGCATTTTTTAGACCTTGATTCCAAAATGTTTTTTTTTTTTAAAAAAACTGTACCAGGGACAACATGATTACAGGTATACAAGTTTTTGTGTGGAACTAATAGGGTATTAAAAGAAGATTCAAACATACTGGACTATGATCTCTTGCAGCTACAAAGATAACAAGGGTCGATCACCCTCTGCTGAACCGCAAACCATCTCCTGCAGATTACGTTGCAAAACATGTTGTTTTTCCCTTTGATGTATAAGGGCAAGGGTTTAAAAAAAGCTAGTTTCAACTCTGCTGGAGTTAACTAAAGAGACTGAATGCTCTTGTGTGTACAACCATGGGTTCAAGGGTTAGCTTGCTGTGAAGGTCACTATGAAGATCGGTTGAAGAATTATCCCCTGGAAAATCAGGACAATTGAACTTCAATCAGTGTACAAAATGAAGAATTTCAAAAATCAGCTGTTCAACCAGCTATGGCAATGCTACCAGTAACCTCCACCATAACAGGGTCAATGTTCAACTATCTGCTCTTGACAACCAAGCAGCTGATCTGTATATCTCAAACTTTTTTCTTCTTTTTTGATTCATTCTTATTTTTATTTCATGTGTATGTATATTGCATAAGTAATTCTTCTCACATTTAGCAGTAAGCTCACTCATTTGTTAACTCATGAAAGCTGGGCTAAATTGGTTCCATTTAAAATGTAAGTTCAATTGGGTCTGGGATATAAGTATCCATAAGAAAAGGAATTCATTATTAAACTTTGTTGTGACCAGTGGGGGCGCAGGTGAATAAAGGCAAGGAGCCTGTTCATCCCTCCTCATCCAGGAACTTAATGATTTGGGGTTTCATGTATGGAACCATAACAAACCTCTCCAGGGGTCTGAGAGGAAAGTCTGCCTTCACACTGGTGAGCAGGAACATCTTCTTACCATATAGATTATATTCAAACTTAGTCAGGAGAGAACGTTCCTGATAGCTCAGTCCTCATTCTAAGTGTGTTTTCACGTCAGCAGGCACTACACTTCCCATCCATTACTATAATGGGATTTAATCTTTATCCTACACAACTAATGAGAAAAACCTTATTGTGCAGTCTCAGTTTAGAGTTGTAACATGCTGCCTGATTGGCTGTTGGTAATTGTATCTTTCAAAAGAGAATCAAATATATGTAGTGAAAAATGTCAGGTAAGAGGAAAGAGCTGGGAATTGGATTGAAACTTGAACAAGCTGGCGCACAGTGTTGTTCAAATGGCTGCCTTTGTGCTACAATCTTCTGAATCCCATCCAGCTTGCTCCTCATATCCTTTAATATCTCATCCAGTCTCTTCCATATAACCCCATTCCCATCCAAGCTTCATCATATCACCCCACTTGCAGATACTGATACCCCATTTTACAATTGCCACTTCCCTTCCCCTCCGCCTGCAGCCCCAATCCCAACAAATAGGTTCCTGAGTTTCCTTTCCACGGCAGAGGCCCAGCCTTAATCTCCATATCCGCCTATCTTTCTCTCATAATCTTTCTTTTTGGTCATTCTTCACTGATGTTTATACCTGTCCAATGTTTTTTTTTAATCTGCCACCTGTCTATACAAAACTCTATGCTTTTCTTTCAATTTGATACTATCTTTAACATTTCTAGTTAACTATGGATGGTGGGTCAGTGCCATGGCATTTTTCCCACTTGTTGGAACGTGTCTATTCTGTATATTTTGAAGTATTCCCTTAAATGTCTGCCACTGCATCTCTATTTACCCACCAGTTACCCCAATTTGCTTAATCAATTCAACCAGCTCTGCTTTAATGCCATCTTAACTGCCCATTTTTTTTTAGTGAACTAGATTGGGATCCATTCTCCTCTCCCTCAAAATATGTAAATTTCAATCATATTATGCTTGCTGCTGAGGCACACCTTCAGCATGAAGTCATTTATTAAGATCATCCCATAATGCAATAGAAGGTCTACTATAATCTGCTGTCTGATCAGCTCTAGAGCCTGCTGATCTAAGGAACTATCCTGCAAAAATTCTACGAACTCCTCATCTTGGCTACTTTAGCCCATCCAACTTTTCCACGGAAATGCTACAGAATAAAATCTCCCATGATTATTGCCGTGCCTTTCTGAAAAAGCTCTCATTATTTCTTCTTTTGCACCCCATCCCACTACATGGTTCCTGTTAGGGGACCAGTACATCACTCTCAAAAGTGACCTTTTACTTTGTACTTTTCCATTTCCACATTTTTTTTTTATTTCCTGGACATACTGGACATAGGTCATCACTTTCTATTGTGCTAATACCATCATTATCGAACAAAGCCATCCCTTCACCACTTTCTATGTTACTATCATTTCTAAATGTCCTATATACTACAAAATTCAGGTCTCAGTTCACATCATCCTGCAGCCATGTCTCTGTAATAGCTACCAGGTCATCCTTATTCCTTTCTATTTACATTCTCAGTTCATCTGTTTTGCTTTGAATGCTATGTGCATTCAGATACAGAGTCTTTAGTTTTATCCTTTTTACTGTTTGTAAATTCTAGACTTATTTGTATGGTTGCGTCTTCAATTCACACTCTCTATCTCTTACTTTTACAGTCTGTTTATCATTTCCTAAATTAATAGTTGCCTTGACTCTACTCTTTGCTTTATCTTATCTTCACAAATTTCATCTCCCAACTATTCAGGTTAGAATTGTCTCTACTTCTCTAGTTATGCTGTTGACAAGAACACTGGCCCCAGCACAGTTGAGGTGGGGGCATCCCATCTATAGAGATATCATTTTCCCCAGTATTAATGTGTATGCCTCATGAACCAGAACCCACTTCTCCTTCACCAGTGTTTGAGTGATGCATTCATTTCACTAATCTGATTTGTCCTATGCCAATTTGCAAATGGCTCAACTAATAATGCAAGATTATGACTTTTGAGGTTCTGCTCAATAATTTGATGCCTAACTGCTCATACTGGCAATACAGAAACTCCTTCGTGACTATGTTCTTGGTACCTACATGAACAATGACTGTATCCTCCCCTTTCTATAGAAAGTTACTCTCCAGCACAGAACAAGTGTCCCGAACCCTAGTACCAAGCAGGCAACCCAGCTGTTTGGATTCATACTCTTTACTGCAGAGAACGGAGTCTACTTGCCTCACTGTACTGTACTCTACTACCAATACATTCTTTTCACTCACACACCCCACACCCTCTTCCAAATGGCTACCTGGACAATGGTGTCATGGTCATTCAACTTGCGTCTCACTCTCATCTAGACTAGCAGAACCTCACAGATGTTGGACGATTACGTGGAACTCCTGCCATTGAGTCCCTTACCTGTCTCACTCACAGTCACACTCACCTGTCCCTGAACGTTGACTATTCAGACAATCCAAACCTAAGAAGTGCATCTTTTTGCTGGTACAAAATAATCCATGTAATTCTCCCCCGCTCTGATGCATCACAGTGTCTGCAAATCAGCTCCAGCTCATTAAGTCTGAGCTCAAGCTGTTTGAACTTCAAATACTTGCAACAAGCATGTTTGCTCTGAACCAAACATTTATCCATGAACTCCCACATACTGCAACTGTGACACATCACGTGTCCCATCATCATGTGTTCTAAGGAATTAGGTCATTATGTGCTCAACTTGATATTTAGTTATGGTTTTATACATATTAATTAACATTACTACCAGTTGCAATAATATTTTGAGTCTTAGAAATGAGATAAACCTTAATCATTTCCCAGATACTTACCAATTAAATACTTTGCAACTGTCTTCACAGCAGAATAAATTAACAGTATTTTAGAAATACTAAATAATCAAGGAGCATTAGTGGGGTGGGGAGAGGAAATAAATGCAATAACTATCACTAAAGAAAAAGTATTAGGAAAACTAATTGGGCTCAAGGCCAATACATCCCTTGGATCCCATCCTTGCATCCTAGAATATTAAAGGAAATAGCTACAGAGACAGTGAATGCGCTGATAGTAATCTTCCAAGAATCTGTAGATTCTAGAAAAGTTCCTGAGGACTGGAAAACCACCAATGTAACACTCTCCTCACAAAAACTTAGCATCCAAGTTCAGCAGGTAATAGGGAAAGCAAATTGAATGCTGTCCTTTCTTGAAGGAAACAAAGCATAAAATTAGGGAAGTCTTGGTAAAACTATGCTGGGATTAGTTTGACCAGACCTGGAATATTGTGAACACATTTGGTCTTCTTAGGTAAGGAAAGATATATGACACTGGAGGCAGTCCAGAGAAGTTTCACTACGTTGATCCTGTGTAAGGAGGGATTTTTGTATGAGGAAAATTTGAGGAGGTTGGGTCTGTACTAATTGGAGTTTAGAAGCATAAGAGGAAATCTTATTGAAACATACAGATTGTTAGGAGGCGCTACAGGATAGCTGCTGAGGGTTTGTTTCCCCTTGTGGGAGAGTCTAAGACCAGATGGCAACATCTCGGAGTAGGTATCATTCATTTAAGACAGAGATGAGATAGACTTTCTTCTCTTGGAGTGTGGTGATTATGTGGAGAGCTTTGTGGAAGAAGCCTGTGGAGGCTGGGTTGTCAAGTATATTTAATGCTGGGACAGACAGATTTTTAATCAGCAAAATAATCAAGGGTCATGGTAAGAAGGCAGGAAAATGGAGTTGAGGATTATCAGATCAGCGACGACCTCATTGAATAGTAGAGCCCCTAAGATTCTGTTGGCCAAGATGAAGGTCTAGCAGAGCAAACAGCAAACTGGAGCTGCCACTTACTTGCTCTGACTTCTATGTCAGAGTTTGTTGCGGTCTAGTTTCTTTCTACTGTGTGGGAGATTAGCAAACTGCATATACATGAAGTGAGAATAGTTAATGAGATATTAGTTCATACAAACAGGCCTCCTACTTACCACTGGGGGTTTTGCTTCACGTTGTTCAAAACCTGCGTTCAACAATCGGACTGTTTTTCTGAATGTTAAGAGTCTCATTTTTCTATCTTGCCATATTTTCCCAATAACTCACCATTGTTCATTTTGTTCACTGGTGGGAAAGGCCAGTTCAGTGTATCTGTTTTCATTTGGATAACTCAGGTAATGGGAGAATAGTCCGTCTAGGTGGGATCTAATCAGAGGTTCATTAGCAGTATTTGTGAGTATGAGGAGTTGGTGATTATTCAGAGTTCAGAAGGGTCAGTTGGTGGTTCAGGGCAGTCAGGAGTGTTGTCAAGGTGTTCAATGTAAGTAAATATGGTGTCAGTTGTGTCATTATTCAGGAATTAGAATAGGTTTTCTCTGTTTAACATTTCCTGGGTAACTATCCAGTGAAGTAAACGGGAACTGCCCAATGTTTCTGCCTCTGGCTAGAGACTTTTTCGCAGGATCCCAAGGAGCAGGGAAATTGTTTGTTTGTCAGAATTTTGAACTTCCCAGGAAATTCTCATAGGGTTCAGCATGTCAGGACTTCCATGGAATCCCAACCCACATCTTGGGGTGAAGGTAAAAGTTAATTTGCTGTTTGAAAGTATTCGTGGAGCTACATCGCTAAACAAACAGACTGCAGCAGTGGAAGTGAAAAGATCTTGCTCTACTAACATGAATTCACATGTACAGACATTCAAACAATGTCACGGTAACACTGCCTGGTTAAGATGCTGAGTTGCCAGCTAGTGTCAGGTGTAGAAACAATCCCTTTGTCTTTTCACCATTAATTTTAAAAACCCTAAGTGTTAGTTCTCTCAATGGACTTTGTCTTACCTTATGCCCATTTACAAAGAACACCAGTTCATCTGTAATTCCCTGTTGAGACATACCAAGAACTTTTCTATCTTCTCTGACTCAGAACCTCCAGGCTACTGCTTGCTCAAAGATAACAGTAAAGTCCTTTAGTGTTGTTGAATGTCTGCAACAAATTACACGTTAGTCAGTCTCTGTGATTTTGAAATCGCGTTGATGTCAAGGCTGCTCTTTGGAATCTGTTAAACATTAGTTCTCTGTTGAATGATCACATGAAGCTTTTAGTGTGTTCAGAATCCTGTTTGTTATTCTTCCAGCTGTTTGCATGGAGAGACAAACTGTTCAGGCTGCACCAGATCTATCTAGGCCTGTTCTTCATTCCTATTACTCCATTCTTACTGTGCATCAGCAAAATCATTCCTGACTGAAATAAACGTACAGGACTTGGCTCCTAGCTCAAATATACAGCAATAAAAACTGATTGATGGGTCTGCAGTGTCCTATTACAGCATGTGTAAAATATCGGGAAAACTAAATAGGGAACAGTCTTTAAAAACAGCTGCAAGTTCCAGACACTGCACAATAATCGTGTACAAAGTAACAATGCACCCCCTGCAGTACGTCTGAAGGAATTCTAATCACTAACTTACATAGAATTACATTACAGTTTACAGTGCAGACACAGATCATTCCTGACGTGGAAATATCTTCTGTTAACCTTATCAAACGCCTTAGCAAACAAAAAATTTGTATGGAATCATCCCAAAATCTCTCTCAACCTAATTGCTTTCCTGATAGGTCTCGCCTCTTGGGTCACTCATACAACCAGCAGGCATTGATATTAATGATTGATAACATGCTCCTCCCATTAATTCAGAATTCCGACAACTTGTTCAAGTCCCAGTGTCTTAATAATGAGGCAGAGCCACAACAGGGAAGAAGAGAAAAGGAAGCAAATACTGCACCCTGGCCTTACAGGGACATTCTACCCATTGCCCAAAGATCAATATCTTGAGAGTTGGCCTGTTCAGTCACATGAGGACCCATGTCATATATGCCTCAAAGAACACCAATTGATAACAATATCACTTTTGTACAAGCCATAAGACTGGAGGTTTTGCCTTTCCTGTTCAGTGTGTGGCACTAGCTCAGGGTCATATTCATCAACTCCACTATTAGTTTTCAGGTATCTGGAGTTAAAACTGTCTTCACCAGGGGCATAATGGAAGAAGAATATTTGTTTCTGTTTGAAACAAAAATTGGGGAGGTAATTTGAATGCTACTAATGGTCCAGCTTACTACAGTGACCTTAAGGTAAAAATGGCCAAATTGTGGTAAAAATCTACTGCCAAACCTATTCACATGTACAAACGTAATTGGATGTAGAAATTTTTATATAAATGTCTTCAGATGTGTTATGACATATCCCTGAAGAAGGCGGCAACATGAAATAATGGTAGAGACACTATCACTGCATCAGTAAAGCCCAAGAGTGAATATATAGTTAGTTATCAGCCAGAAACAATTGATTAAATAGTGCAACTTAATTAAGGTATGATTGAATGAAGAATTCATTACTAATCTAGTAGTTTTATTATTAAGGATAGATAATATTCAAAAATCTGCAAGATGCTTTCAAAATCCAACTTACAAATTAGCTGCTGTAGGGTTCTGTCTGTGGGAACAGCATATGATCAGATACAATTCACAAAGATAGAAACTCTGTCTTTAAGAAGTGAGACAAGATCTCAGTAATGATTGGGAACTCGTACAAAATCAGACAGAAGACATTGATTATCACCATTGTTTCCTCTGATGTGATGATGTACGCAAATGGCTAAACTCGAATCAGAATGATTCAATAATGAAATCAATTGATTACTAAATTAGAACAGATTTGATTCAAGACAACTTGAGGTAATGCAGGGGTTAAAAGTGAAGATACTAAAGGCCCCATTTTTCGCTAGCTAGTCATCTACTTGATGTTCCTGAGATAGAATTCTGAAAGAATTGCCACCAATGAAGGACATTTGAGGGGAATTAAATTTCACCAACCTAATAAATCAATCAATCTAAGCTGTATAGGTCTACCTTGTATTATAAATATATTTATCGCTTTTTATCATACTTCCTTGCATTTGTTCTTTAAGAGAGTTCTGTTTTACCTTTATATTGACATCTTGTCAGAACCAAAATGTTTTAATGGGTTAATTTGGAATTGCATAATAAGGCTTCAATTATTAACAATTAATTTAAGTTAAAATACTCAATGAAAATCCTATTTTCCTGTGTTCACTGAATTACATTATCTTAATCTTAAGCAATACCTCAAATGTGAAGTGTTCATCCTTGATTGCTTGCAAGGGCTTGTCCTCCCAATTTCTGCAATCTCCTCTAGTCTCTCAACCTGAGAGATAGCTGTATTCTTCCAATCTGACTTCTTGACCATCCCTGCTTCTAGTTTCTCTGCTACTGGTGGCCATGGTGCAACTCCCAAAGGCCCAAGGTCTGGAATTCTGTCTATAACCCTCTACCTCCTCTTTTAAGACATCCTTGAAAACTCCATTTTCACCAAACTTTTCAGCAAACTATTTAACTCCTCAGTCCTGCTCCATCATTCAATAAGATCAACAGCTGCTCTGTTTGTGTTTTGAATTCCACATTCCCATCTAGCCCTAAGCTTGATAGGAAGCAAATCAATCAATATGGATTTTTTTAAAACAATGACTTTGAGTCTACCAGCTTCTTAGACAGAGTTCCAAATCCCCACAACTCTAAGGAAGAGAAGATCTCTCCTCATTTCCATCCTAAAAGACTGACCCTTAATTTTAAAATGGTTGGATTTACTAAGGTTTTGGAGTAGATTTGTAGCTCGGATTGTGGTTGTTGTGGTTGGTTGGCTCGCCGAGCTGGTTTGTTGTTGTTCTGCGGACGTTTCATTACCCTGCTGGGTAACATCATCAGTGCAGCCTCCGATGAAGCGCCATTGTGTTTGCTCTGCAAAGCAGAGACAAGCACGGGAGTTCCTAGAAGCCTGGTACTCCACAAAGAAAGCCATCAATAAACACATAGAACTCAACCCCATATACACTCCACTGCAAAGGAAAACCGGAAGTGAGGTAATCCAGCTCAACGGACTCCAGAGTTTAAAAGCCAGGAGGGAAAACACAACGGCGCTTCATCGGAGGCTGCACTGATCATGTTACCCAGCAGGGTAATGAAATGTCTGCGGAACAGGTTGGATTTACTGTCCATATGGCACATCCTTTCCATGTGTAATGATTGTAATGAGATCAGCCAGGTGGACTTCATAGAATATGAGTTCCCTGATTAGAGCTGTTAATCTGGTCTAATCAGCTACCTCTGGCTGACAGATAAGAACAGGAGTGTCAGGAGTTCTGCTTGCTCTGAGTGCTGGCTCTGAGGGAGCTGAATCAGTGTCAAGGACTCTCTATGTGTAAATAAAGGGTGACTTGGTGACAGAATACCAGCCTCCATGGAGTTATTTCAATGTGTACTTTGCCAAGACTGTTCAGGATCTTCTATAATTCAATCACATTGCCCTTCACTCTTCTAAAACTCAAATGAAAACAAGCCCAATCCTTCAAACCTTTCCTCATAAGACAACCCACTCATTCCAGATGTCAATCTAGCAAACCTCCTCTGAACTGCCACAAATGTATTTACTTCCTTCCTCAAACAAGAGGATCAAGACTGCACACAAAAGTCAAGATGTGGTCTCATCAATGCCCTTTGTAACAAAAGAATGTCATCCTTACTAATATCTCCTATTGTGGCTTTGTGTCATATTTAGCTTGATAACTCTTTGATGAAACATCTTGGAACATTTTACTCTATTGAAGGTTCTATATAAATGCAAGTTGTTGTTGACTGCACAACATTTTAGATGGAATCAAATTACCAAATGACATATGGCATATCTTTTGCCCTGAGATGGATGTGGCTTTGATCTTACTTCTGAGTTTCTCTTAGCCATTATTTTAAATTCTATGACCTGAACATTTGCTGAGCGTCAGCTTTGGCTGTTTAAATGTCATGGAACAGAAACCGATCACCTCCCGCCTCTTCCACCTGAAGCAGCTGTGATCGACCCATCGCAGTCACATATTCCCCCACATCCGCTCAACTACATCATATTCTAAGTGTAGACCACTTAGCATCATCAGGTCAAAACATCAAACCCAATCTTCCACCGTCATCCACTGTATTTGCCCTCCCGAGGTACAGTGCAGTCGTCCAAAAGAACAAACAGGCTAAAGGTAAGTCAGAGTATTTTAAAACTTCAGCTTGTACTGGAGCCAATCTGATTCAAGATGATGATGAGAGGAATAAATGAGGCCATTCAGCCCCTGCAGACTGTTCTGCCTCTCAGTAGATCATGACTGATCTGTACCTGAACTCCATTTTCCTGCCTTTCCAGCTCCAGTGATATACTTAACCAATAAAATAAAAACTTTCAAAATAAAAACAGAAAATGCTGGAAACGTTAACTTTGTTTCTCATCCCACACACGCAGCCTGACTTGTCGAGCATTTCTCCCATTTTCTGATTCTATTTTTCACTGTTAATCTCAGTCTGGATATATCTAATTGACAACCACCCCACTTCCACCCAAGTACCTGCAACACATTACTCTGGGGAGACTGATCCAAATTCCCACTACTTTACAGGTGTCAAACGTCTTACTAACTTCCCTTGTGAATGGCCTAGCTCCATTTTTAAAGTTTTATTGAAAATAATAAAAATATTTGCTAGACAAGATAGAGAGCAGTGTTGCTCTCTATCTTGTCTAGCGAATATTTTTATTATTTTAAATATCAAATTTTTGTCCCCTCTCAATGTTTAAACTCAATGGGGTACAAGCCAGTTTTAGATGTCCTGCCATCCTTTCATATTAATGCATTATTATCCCATCTGCACCACATTCTATGACCAGCAGAGGGCTGCTGAGCATAATAAATTCTGGGTTCTCAGCAGCTAAGAGAGAAACTTGCTGATTGAGAGGCATACGCCACATGTGGGCAATGTTATACCAGCTATGCATTGGTACAGATTCATGGCACTCTCATGCACAAGCATGAGGTGGGTTGAAAGAGAGAAGACCCTCTGACACATTGATCCCGCCAATCTTAGATAACCTTCTTCACTGTCCACTACACCATCAAATTTGGTGTAATCCACAAGTTTACTAACCATGCCTCCTATATTCTCATCCAAATTATTTATATAAATGATGAACAACAGTGGACCCAACACCAATCCTTGTGGCACACCGCTGGTCCAGTTTGAACAACCCTCCACCACCATCCTTTTTTCTCCTACCATCAAGCCAATTTTGTATCCAATTGGCTAGCTCTCCCTGAATCCCATGTGATCTAACATTATTAACCAACCTACCATGTGAAACCTTGTCAAAGGTTTTGCTAAAGTCCTGGTGAAGTATTCACCAAGTGCTGTGCTGTTGGAACAGCTGTTCCCTCCGGTGGATGTAAAAGATCACGGTGCACTATTTTGAAGCATATTAAAGA